TACAATAAAAAGGAAACAAGGATTTGATAGTCTTGTAAAATTCCTGGATAGACATGTTTGAGTTGTTCATTCTTGTTAGGGCACAATGACTCCTTTTACCATTCTCATATGAGATGATTGAACACCAAGTCTTAGGGGGTGTTTGGAACTGATTCTAATTCTGCTTCTTTTTAAAAGCAGAAGCAGAATCAGTTTTCAGAAGCTGGTACCCCCAGCTTCTAAAAAAACTGATTCTGAGAGTAAATTAGAGCACCAGAAGTGCTTCTGGAATTTCACCCAAACACTTCAGCTTCTGCTTCTGCTCTCTGAAGGAGCAGAATCAGTTTTGAGAATCAGATCCAAACACCCCCTTAACTATTATAAATACAGGTTTGATGATTTTTGTAAAGATTGTGTTTCTTTCATGTTATACTCTACATATATTCTTTCATATTAGAACACGAACTTACATCTCTTTAATTATTTGCTCTGATCCTTTAGTCTAAGTAGTGAGAAGGCAACAATAGACCATTTTGTCAAAAGCAATGAATAAGTATTTTATTGTAAAAAGCAAATCTGTAAAAACCATAGACCATTTTGCACGTTACCGTGTCAACATGCCGAGATATTTCAGTGACTTGATATGGCAATGGGTCGGGGCGGGGCGGGTACCGCAAGACCATGGCGTGACAATATAGATATATGCGAGGAGAGAGAGCTTATTGTAGACTAATGAAGATAATGTGTCCTTGTTTCATGGAGTAGCTAGCCCTTCAGTAGGATAATGCTCAATGGGCAGCACAAGGGAAGTATACACTACAAAAAACAGCCCGTTTGTCACGGAAATTAGTCACGGATCCGGGCCGTGAAATATTTGAATTCAAAAAATTTCAACTTCCCCACCTAGCCCATTCCGGATCACAACAACAACAACATCCAAGCCTTAGTCCCAAAAGATATTGGAGTCGACTAACATGAATCGATACATGATATCACCACCAAAAGGAAAAATGGTGATAGAAGTCGTGACAAAGTCCGTGACAAACTTTGTCACGGAACCGGGTCCGTGGCAACGGTATTGTCACGTCATGGTTGTCACGAATATTTCCGTGACAAAGTCCGTGATAAAAATACTTTGTCACGGATTTTTTGAACTAAGTGCCATGACAAAATTCGTGACAACACCCTTATTTTTTTGTAGTGGTATATGCATGAGTGTGGGCTTAGATATGTGTCCTCTTCATTATTTGCATTTGTTCAAAATTGTGTGAATATGTTGATATCTTTTATACAAACCATTCACGATAAGGTTTTATTACTTGAGCTGAGATTAGTCTCTGACAATATAAATTCAGGCCCGGCCATGGGGGCAGTTAACCTAGACACTTGTCTAGGGCCCCAACATTTTAGGGGCCTCCAATATTTAAATTAAACCTTTTAACATAATATATGTATAATTAATTGAAATTGTAATTACAACCAGCCCTGTTAAGTAAATTTCAATTCGTAAATACCTATCACTAAATCAACGATACTTGCATCCTTTATTATTCTACTCGATCTTCTTCTATTAGGAATCACCGAATAAAGATTTCACCCTTTACTATCTTTAGGATTTAGGTGTTTTCGAGCGTGAGTCCAACAGTTTGATTTTGTCCAATATCAATTATTTAATTTATTAATTTACTTATGTATGTGTGTAAGAAATTGATAGATACGAGCATATTTTTTGTGAATGTATTAAACATAGATTGGTTGTAGTAGTTTTAGTTGCAACTGTGAGTTTCATTTAATATTGAATACTTATACGTGGGGAATTAAATTTTTATTTGTGAATCATTTACAATCTAAGACTTGAAAGATAGATAACCTATTAATCCAGGACCTGAAAGATGAATTGTGTTGGTATAGGGTCGTCCGAATGATTGCATACTAAGATTAATCTAGGAGCTAAAATTTCATAGGTTTTTATTTATTTGTTTTATTAATTCCATTGCTAATTTTTTGGTCTTTTCTTCACAAATGTTTATTAGTTGGATAAAACTATAAAAATAAACAATATATTAAACTTTTAAAGTAAATAAAAAATAATAAAATTCATGATAATTTAATTATTAGATTGATAATTTTCAACCATTGAGGCTCTTTACTGACACATTCCTTTTTTCACTCTCGAATTGATAGTACACATATCTTTCAAGTCGTGGGTTGATATAATTCATACGATAGTATATTGTATTATACATGATGCATTCGGTGTGTATTTTACTTCTATTTATTTCATACTCTATGCTATAGTACTTTGAGTGTCTAGGGCCTCAAAAATGTTCTAGCCGGCCCTTACAATATTTTCCATCAAAGTGCAAAGTTTATATTAATTTCATATTACACTGAGGTAGATATTTCGAGCATTAGGGAAAGTGACGTGCACTTATCGTGAGGTGCACTCAAAATAATTAATCAATACAACACTAATACGTAGTATAGTGAAGTAAGGTTCGTATCCATAGGGAAATGAAATAATTCTCTTCTATATAAGTAGTAACAGGGGGGGGGGGGGGGGGGGGGGGGTTAGATTTGTTTGATTTAAAAACACTAAGATAAACAACCTATACGAGTTTAATTAATAGATGTGGATGCTTGGTTTTGCTTTTATCCACTTAATGAAATGTTCGTCGATCCCGGTTATATCTTTAACTATCTTCCTCTCGAATACTCAATCGAGGAGTATATCTAGTTCATCGAGGGTAGTTATTAATAACGAGATGCGTTCATTAATAAAACTTACTATCGAGTCAATATAGAACAAGCGCCGTATATTAACTTGATAGTAGCAATAAACTTAAGATGAAAACGATTGATATTGATAACCTCAACACAAGCGGTTTATTGGTTTAATCAATATAATTAATTCCCCTTGGCATATTAACCATGAGATGCATGTATTAATATTCCAAGTTTACTATCGTTGAAAGAACCGGATTAATAACAAGCGTATTAACCGAGTGATTCTAGGATTCTAGTAATAATTAATATGAGAAACAAAACTAGTTGATACTTTAAGTAATGTTTAAAATATTAACATGAAATATGAATAGGAATTAATTAATACTCAAGGAAGAAGATTAAAGAAAATAACTCACAACTTACAAATTCATTAAGCTTCAAAGTAGCAAAACCAAGATGGAAAAGTTTAGCTCCTCATTTGGAAACTAAACATGATGAAAAATATAAAGAAAAAACTATTCTATACTGAGCTTAGATGTACAAAGGAAGTGGATATCCATTTGTGAAGGAAAGGGGGTGTATTTATAGGCTTTTGGGATGGGATTCAGGTACTCGATCGGGTATATACATGGTACCCGATCGAGTATATGTGTAATACCTGGTTCGAGGTATACTCGATCGGTTTCAGGCTATTTTCCACAGGTATACCCGATCGGGTATATGTTTATTACCCGGTCGAGTATGCTTAGAAAATGGTATTCGAGCCATACTCGACCGATCTTCGTTTAAAACTCAAAGGCATACCCGATCGGGTATGTCGGTCTACCCGATCGAGTATAGACATTAAATCGTGGCCAAAATCCTCCCGGCATGTTCCTTTGTCTTCGGATCTGATCCGATTTGAAGTTTCAACCTAATACCCGATCGAGTATAGGTGATACTCGACCGAGTATAGACCAAAATTCAGGATCCTTCTTTTGTCTTCTAATTTTGCACCTTCTTTCCACTTTTTGGGTTCACCAACTGTACTTTGAGTGATCAAGACCTGTTTGAGCTCAGAATAAACCTAATCTAAACTATTTACAAGAATTTAACAGACTAATCTATTACACCAAAAGTGTGTAATTTACATAGTAAAGATTACGCAAAACTAATTAAAAACACAAACATGCATATGGAAATTACAAACGTATCAAAAAGTGAGATTATTCATTTTTCCTTCATTGTTTAAATATACTCGAATACAGGAATAGTATAATACGGACTTATGGAGTACTAAAATACTACATCCGTCCCGAAAAGGTTCATCATATTGACTTTTCTTGATCAATGATGACGAACTTTGGACGATGATTTTAATTATAATATTTGTATATAATATATAAATTTTATACTTTTATGAGAATATTTTGAATGAGTAGCATTTTGATATACGAGTAATTTTCATATTTTAAATAATTTTGTATTAAGAAATATCATTAGTCAAAATCAATTGTTATTCATCAAGAAAAGTCAATTTGGTTAACTTTATTAGAGGGATGGAGCAAATCATATTCCCTTTGTCTCATGATTTTTGTCAAACCTTCTTATTTAGTTTTGCCAAAAAAGACCCATTTCCCTTTAAAATAGAAACCTATGGTCAATATTATTTCTAGATATTTTACGTAGTACAAAAATTTTAATGACAATATTTATTTTAGGTAGATTCTAGTACCCATAAAGTGTCATACCTTTGTCCATATGATCAATAAAAATGTTGCAGTTGAATTATTTAAATCTAAATTAAAAATTATATAATAATGTAGACCAATCAAGTGAATAATAGATACTCCATCCGTCCCGCAAAGAACTTCCCGTTTTCCTTTTTTAGCAGTCCCAAAAAGAAGTTCTCATTTCCCTAAATGGGAAGTTATCTACATCAAAACAATGCCAAACAGTGCAAAACAGTGTCAAACAGTGCCAAACAGTGTTGAAAAAGTGTCAAAACAGTAAAATTTATCCCATGGTAAGTCTATTTCCTTAATGTGTGTAGGTCAAACCGAGAAGTTCTTTGCGGGAGGGAAGGAGTACGATATTATTTGGGTTGAAAAAGTTGGAAATGCAAAGGGGTCAATAATACCGTGCACAGTCATGTACCATCATCACTTCATCATCGGCTACCAGCCTATACTTCTTCACTGATACTCTAATCTCAGACTTCATTATCGACCTTTTTTATGCAAATCTAAGGAATTGCCTTCTCTTCTTCTGATCACCTGAGATCAATCCTTAAACCAAAAGTTAGACCGCGTTTCTCCAAGAAAAATAACCCAATTCAAAGTAAGAAATCTCACTTTGATTTCACAGCAGTTCAAAAAACTTCCTGTATTGTAATTTATATTTCCGCTCTTTCGATTTTGCAGGTTGCAGAGACGCGGACATTGAAATCAATGCATTGATGAATGCCAACTCTCAATTGTTTTGATAGATCTGTGGCTTCTTGGTTTGCACGCATCTTTACTTTTATGGGGTCAGTTCTACAGGTTCCCTCTAATACGTGAATTGTTATTTTTGCCTCAAGAGGAAATTGAAATTTCTTTATTCATGTTAAAACCAGGAATGGCAAATGCAATCTTGGGAAAAACTAAAGAAATTGCAATCCTCAAAATCGTTTTACTTATTACTAAAATCGCAACATTTTTGGGTTCATTCTTTGTATGTCATGTAATATCTATGATGACTATTGCCTTTTGGAATACTTTACCGGCACGTTAGGAATCATAATGGATAGTTGGATACGGTGTTGCTGTTTTCTTTATTGAGGTCTTCTCTTATGCTTTCTTTTCTCAGGAGGGTGCTTTAGTGTCTCTTTTGGCAAATATTATTTTGACTGAAATGGATTCAGAGTCTGCCCAATTTTCTTATTATCGTAACATCCATTACACCAAATAGTCAAGAATTGAGGTGATAAGCTAGCTCTTAGCTGATAAGTAATGGGTGTCTTATAACTATACTACCTCCATCTCAAAAAAGAGCCCCTTTCAAAAAACTGTCCCAAAAAATAAAGCCTGATCCTAAAAGTCATATTCCTTTTTTTTGTTTTCATATTTTAAGTGGAAAGCTTGTAAAACCAAGAGACAAGCAGGGTTTGACTAGTCACTTCAAACAATATTGAATATAATTTTAGGGGTATATAAGTGCCATTTATATTCATGTATCTTGACCTGAGTAGATTGTCCATTATACGGAGTAGCTGATAATTTAGAGGGTCTTATTTTTTTGGTAAGAATAATCTGATAAGCTAGTTTAGAAATATCAAATGACATAAAGCTTATATATTTGAATTTTGAAATGATTCTAAAATAAAAATCAGCATGTAAATTGATCTATAAGTGAAAAGTTCAGTAGCTTATTTGAAAAGCTACACCAAGAAGTTTATTAAATAAGCATAGGCTTAACTCTTAAGTTAACCAATAAAAAATTCTTAAAATGTTTCAATAAAAAAGCGGGTAGATAACTTGTGAACCAGCTTATGACATACTAAATAAATATAGTGCACGTTGAAAGCTGCTTATTGTGCCTACTATGTTGATAAGAAATAACTGAACTCATTGCCATTATTTTACCCGGTGTTGGGTCCTCTAGGCATTAGTCTTAGCCTGTAGAACAATGGTTTTGCTTGATGATTCTGATAGAGAGGCATGTTTTGAAACTAATAATCATGCAAAGGTTATAGATTTGTCTGTATGATTGTATGAATGCTTCTTTAACATGATTACATACAGCTTGAGTTAATCAATTATGCCCAATTTAGATCATCAACATCAAAACGTTTAAACTGAAGTTCAATTAATCATATACAACTAAATCCCTTATGTCCACTTTAGACAATCAATTTAAATTACTAACTGTTAGTTAATAAGGGCACATTTGTTCAGGATAAGGCCCCACTTAAGATTGTGTTTGCAGTGGGAAAAGCTTATTGTTTTCTTAAAGCAATCCAATAGTTTTTGTCTAAACCCCTCTTTGAGACTCTAAGATGACTTTTGCAACTTCTTTTGTTTTCTAGAATTGTGTTTGAGTTTAAATGTTTCTCCTTAGACATTTGCAGTACTTTTCATTTGCAATGCGAACACTGATAACTCTCAAAAGCCCTTTTCCACCATGATTCCCAATACTTCTTTTGAAAAACGTATTTCTAATAAATACCTTTTGTCAACCCCACCTTAATCCCAAAGCAGGCCTAATTATAGTTTAGGATAGAAGAGGTTTCGGATAAGTACTTGTGTTGAGATTTTTTAGGTAAAAAGTTATTGGAGACACTGTTTCCAAATTTAAAACCACTTTACATACTAATAGAGGGAATAATTTTACCTCTATTCTCTAAAACTTAAAACTTGAGCTTTTGAGAGTAGATGTGAAATTGATTTTCTCTCTATTAAATGGGTAATAGTTCTCTTTGAGTTTACCTTAACACTCATAACTATTAAAAGACATAAACACACTCCATTCTCAGTCCAAGAACAACAAGTCTACAACAGCTCTAATACCAAATCAATGGTGTAGCTGTTTCAACATCGGAAAATCATTTGAGATCAGGCATTGATGTTCTATTTTTTCACATTTTCTGCCATGCACCATATGTTCATGAAGTCCCAACTCTCTAATACGAAGTATCACTTAAGACCATATTTCAAAATTTACGAATACATGATCGAATAGTCACTGTTCGTCCTAATTGGAATAACAAGTATTTGGTCTTTGACCGAGTAGCTACCTTGTAATGATTTAACAAATCAGGCTAAATTTGGACTCAAAGCACTAAGTTTTACTTCAGCATATCCTATACACCATACTAATTACTAGGTTAAGCCGTTTCTGTCCAAAGTACTCAGCCTAGCGTCCAGTCCAAAACTGAAGCTGCCCCTAATTAAGCCGTTCCGGTTCCCACAAATGCCAGACTCATTCCTTTAAAAAAGCCCAGAATCGTCCCCATTCCCTGGGCAATACAAGCCCACCTGGCGGCAAGGGGATGGTGCCAAATCTAAACTACGTGCATCGCTGCATCTACACCTTCACCTTCCCAGCCACTATTTTGCATAATCCACCTATCATTGGATGAAAGATCTTCAATATTGAGCTCAAAAGCTCAATTTATCACCTAGCTTTCTTTGTCTTAACCATTTTTGAATTGGCCATAAGAAAAACAAGACCATTCAATGTTTTTGCTTCAAATAGTTCTTGTCTGTATGTGGATCTTAAGGAATACACATTCAAGGATTTCAAAACAAAATATTTCACGAATAATTAGAAATCTTACCATGACAAAGGCACTCCTATTATGCTTACACCCAGAGGAACTACATGTGAAGCTTACTGCTTGACTGTCAAACTTTTGAAGTTTTGCAAGTTCTTCAGTGTAGGGCTGACACCAGTATGCTGGACTACTATCTCTCAAGTCAAGTGAGTGTAAGAAGTTTACATGCCTCTTAAAAGGGAAATTACCTTGAATAAGGATAAAAACATTTGTATATTCCAAAAATAGGACTATAATGTTTTTATTCCCTAAATAGGAGTAATCATTACCATGTTTTGGCAGTCCCAGACTTTAATTATTGTAGTATTTTCCAAGATTGGCAGTAATTACCCCTATTTAGGGAATAAAAACATGGCAATGCTATTTTGGAATTCTCAAACATTTTTACTCCTATTTCGAGAATTTTCCCCTCTTAAAATTATCAAGTTGGACATCAATTTTGGCTTGTTCTTCGACGTCAACCGCTGTTCATGTTATACAACCATATGGACCTTTTTTAACTCTGAAAATCGCTAAAAACTAAATCATTTTGAGAACCTTTATCTTCATCTATCCTTTTTTCCGTTTTCTAATTCCCAATCATCCACGCAGTGCTACCGGAAGCAATATTTTATGAACTTAGGAATGCCAAGAAACTGGTTTTTATCAATCATGATACCATGAATATACAGAACCATGAATTTAATGTTTCTGGTGGGCACAGATGTATCAGTGTTTGGTAGAAGAACAATTTGTTAAAAATGTATGCTGAAATTGTTAATTATTCATGTGACCTACTGTATAGAATATTCTGGACAAGAAGTTCAATTAATAGCATAGGTCCGTCACGTTAGTTACTTCAGTATGCCCTGTTAAACATTGAGATTTGTCCTACGGCACTATCGGCACATAGTGGATAGGCCCATCATGTAGAGTATGCCCTGTAACATTGAGATCTGTCGCGTGCTACATTGTGTGCTTCATTTACTATGCGTATGATTATTATGATGAGAATATTTTGTCTATACTAATCTTTTATGTTGCTACAAACCTGATATGCAACAAAGCAGAGGTTTTTTTGGATGTTGTACAAAGCCAACTATTGTAATATCAGTGGAAGATCGATCCAAGGGACTGAAAAGTCATGGTCAACAGGTAAGGAATACAAGATTGAGAGAAGACTTTTGGAGCAGTAGTACCTGTGAGATGGATAATAGTGCATTTCAATCCCATAGGAGTGCCTCGTCAATTAGCACCTCAAACAACACTCATGATCCTTCTATCTCTAGCACGGGCAACATAAGCCAGTCAGAATTTGTAAATAATGGCAAGTGCAGTCTTTTCCAATTTCTAGTTGATATAAAATAGTAGGCATCTGTATCATTGAAATACTATTTGTTTATGTGTAATATCTACAGTAGTATCTGTGTCCACTTTTTGAGTACAATGAAAAAATATCATTAGAGTGCATTTGTTTTTTTTTTGTTTTTTGCATTGGTTCTTAAATCTAAAGTGCAATGAACTTAAGGGCATTCTTTGATTTTGACTATTTCAAAGCTTTTTTCCAACATAAGCTGGTTTTGGGGGTTCTTAAATTGAGCTTTACAGGTTTTTAAAACTCACATGTCAAAACATGTGTGTGCTGTTTTATTAATTTTATTGACTATTTGAGGTGGGTTTTGAAGTTCTAGAATGAGTTGACATTTGTGTTGGATTAATTTTATTGACTATGTTTTACAGGTTTAATGCTTTGGAAACAAACTAGGCAACAGTGGATTGGGAACACGGAATCTCAGAATCATGTACCACCTAATAGGCCCAAATTAAGGTGTGTGCTTCTATAACGTTTATTTCCTTACTGAACACTGATATGGACATTATTTTTTGAAGTTCCGTTTTACATAGGATTTTGATGGTTCAGCAGTGTCTACTCTTCTTTCCGAGCCTATTGAGATAGATCATCTGCCTAGCCAGCCATCTAATTACATTTTAGATTTCGTTAATTTAAATATGACTAACACCAGTATGCATTATAATATTGCAGTTTTGAGGCAACCTATGAGAACTTGCTGGGAACAAACAAGCAATTTCCTAGGCCAATACCTCTTCCAGTGAGTCCTGCCAGTTTAATAACACGTTAGTATCTGTTTTTTGACCAACACTGACTGGATTCTTCAATGCTTCTTGCACTTGACAGGAAATGGTAGATTTCCTTGTTGATATCTGGGAACAGGAGGGGCTTTATGATTAATTAAACTGTGTCCCATATTGCTGCAAAATACTCATACTGACAAGTTCATGTTTGCGCGCCTTTGTAGAAGTTTCTTCTTGGGCCAAGGGGCGTTTAAGGAGATGTCACTTTTGTAAATTTCTCTGTAAACCGATGGGGAGTTAGGAGAATGTGTTCAATTAAAACTTCTATAGACTTGTACATTGGTACACCCTCCATCCGCATTTAGTGTTACGGGTTCTGATTGACACAGGATTTGTGAACGATGAGAATTGTGTTGTTGGGTGATTTGTAAAAAGGAATCAATGAATATAAAATGAAAGAATGGCATGAATATAACTCTTTGGCTTTTAAGAGACATAAATGTGACCAAAAATTGATTGGACAAAGTATGGGTTTTAAATAGTATCCATGTTTAGTAGTTTTAGTAGGCCGTCTGGCGTGTGCCCAAAGGTACAGTACACTTTTAAATAATAGAGGCACCGTAGAAAGACCCAAGAAGTTACCATTAACGTAGAACATATACCACAATAGTTGGAATCGAATGCAAAGAAAAGTTTTTTTTATCTATTCTTGTTCTATTTTGTTTTCTTAAGCAGTTTATCTTCAATGGTTTATTGTTTAATGCAACTATTTTTATCCTCTTTTATTTACAGAGTCAAACATATTACGTTTACATAATAACTGACATTATTTCGTTGAACATGTATAACAAACATAATAGAAAGAATGGCATCGGAGATATCACCTCTCAACTTTCATTGGACAAAAATATAACCAAAATTGAACCCACTCCTTCCGATTTTCTTGTGGCTCGTAACTCCCCTAGTCCCATCTCCCAAGAGCAAAACACCATCTCCCAGCCCAGGACTTTTCCGCTGCCTTGTGCATGGATTTCCCTCTCCCATACGAACTCCTGCCTCATCAGTTACCCCCTCCCTAGCCCATGACTCCCCTCTCCCCTGCGAACATCCAAATTCTAGATTCGCCTCATTCGCTGCTACCAGGGCGATGAAATTCCGGATATGGCAATCAATGGCCTTCTTCATCAATTTTCGATGACGGCTGTTGTTGCCGCCGAATATATCTTGAGGCAGGGTGGTGGCACTTCATCAATAAATCAGTGGCGGCGATGGCTAAGGTTAGATCTTGGTAGTTGAAGCGATGTTGGGCCACGACAGCTAGGTTGGGGCCCCCAGGCGATGTTGGGCGGTGGTTAAGGTTTTTGATGCGGTGACTTGGCAGCATAGGCTGGGCTGGTTGGGGTTGGGGAGGGGTGGATTAGGAGCTGGGCTGGTTGGCTGGAGCAGGAGTCGGGGAGGGTGGCTGAGGTTGGTCGGGGGCGGGGCAGGACATGGGGCAGGGGCTAGAGTTTGGGGTGTTGGGGCGTGGGGATGAGGAGGGGCGGGGCTAGATGATAACAGTGGCGGTGGGATGGAGATGTCGCCGTTTTGGCGGGTGGTGTTGGTAATTGGCCAATCGTGGAGGTCTCGCCGGAAAAAGTCACTGGAGAATTATTCGGCGATTGCAGTGACACTTGACATGGGTTCGTGACATCCGAAAGCAGCATGAAAATTGGTAGTGACATTTAAAAGGTGAAATAATAATCTGACAGTGACATAAATATTTTGTAGTGACACCATGTTTTCCAAAATATATGACCTTCTTATTCACATTTTTGTCCAGTTGTAAAAATGATCACATTTTAAAAGGTCAACCTTATAGGAGGAGTAACTCATGTTTTAATATAGCACTTCTTTGACTCAAACATTTTCGGTGTGGGATTTAACAGCGGACTTTACATTAACAAATAATATTTTACAATAACTAATAATATTACAATTGTAAACATTGACCACATATATATTTAGGAAATAACACTTGTAGTGCCTCAATTATTTCCCACATACATGCATGCGTTGTATATTTGTATACTACTTCATATTTTTTGGAATCTTGACACGATTAACATTACAACTTTAGAGACGGTAAAAATTCTGCTCTTTTTTTACATATTTTCAGGACTTTTCACTCCAATAATTTGTCTCTAAAGTTAAGCCATAAAAATTCATTCGAAAAAAATTATTATAAACCAAAAATGCATAGCACATAAAAAACATTATCGAGACCACCAAAAAAAATTATAATTTTTGTACACATTTCAAAAATTCTTTGCACTAATACTTCTTTGTAAAGTTAGGGACTTAGGGTACAAAAAAAAGTTGGTCTGAAAAATTCAATTTTATATACAATAAACGTCTGGAATAATTACATAAATATGACCAAAATAATGATGATTTACAAAAATATGACTAGTGACTGTAATAGTAATGAAATCTTAGTAATTCATGTTCAACTTTTGAGTTTAAATTAGAGAGAATTCCCCAAATAGGAGTAAAACATAGACAAAATGCAAAAATAGGAGTATCATGTTTTGAATAGGAGTAACTTTAGTGTTTGGACAAGTATACCCCTACCCAAGCCCTAAGCCCCAACAACTTTTAATTAAATATTTAATTCATAATAAATTCGAAAAAAAAATAAAAAATTCGTAAAAAAATAATTAAAAAATTTATAAAATATTAATAAAATAAAAAATTTAAAAAAATATATATTTTTTAAAATTTTTTAGTTCTTAAAAATTAATAAAAAATAGTAAAACTCCACAAAAAAATCAAAAAAAAAAATATGGATGTTTTTCCCACCGCCTGTACTACCTTCCTGCACCACCACCTCCGGGCGGTGAAAAAATTCCATTTTTCCTAAAAACTGCCATTTTTTTCTGAAAATGCCAAAAACATGACATATTTCTCTTTGCGGATGCCAACATTTTCATTATTTTCTGCCATAAATATGACATTCTTAATGAACTTTGCATTTTTTCCCCTGGTGACTGGAGGTGGTGGTGCAGAGGCGGCAGAGGCGGCGGTGAATTTTATTTTATTTTTTTGAGTTTTTATACTTTTTTTTTAAAAAATATATTTTTTTATTTTTTGAAAAATAAATAAATAAATAAATTATTATTATTGAATAAGTCATAAATTAACTAGGTTAAGATTAAATAAGTCATATTTTAGAATTAACTAGGTTAGGGATATTAAGGGTACAAAATTAATGTTTACTCCTATTGAAGAAAGTTTTAAGTTATACTCCTATTTATGCAATTATGTTTATGTTTACTCCTATATTGGACAATTTCTATTTAAATTACCACAACACCATATTATAGTAATGAATAGTCATATTTATGTAAATACGTTTTATTTTGGTAATATTCTCGTAAAAACCCTAAACGTCTAACATAGTAAAAAAGTGTTTAAGACGTGTCAAAAATATTGTCTACTTTTTCTAAACCTCAAACGGATTTTTTTTGCTTATACAATAAGGCCACATATACGGAATAAAAAAGTCACTAAAAAAATCTAATTTTAGAGATAATAAATGTATGCCACAAACAAAATACGTATGATTTAGACAGAGCCAAAAAATTGTACGGAGTATAGTTTTTTTACAACTTTAAAAAATCTTTCGCACTGACAAATTTCACGTAAAGTTAGGCATCATTCGGAGAAATGTAAGTTGCAGATAATAAATGTCCGACACAGACAAAAATAGCTTCAATCAACGACAAAAAATGTACTCCGATCCTCTAGTTCCACAAAACATAGTCATATGGACTTTTCCTAATCAAAGGTCACGTTTTAGCAATGATATTTATTAGTATGAAATTATTTAGAATGTGGAAATTATATAGGAATATTCTATGTTAAAAAGATTTTCATAAATGTATATAATTTATAAATTACACACAAATATAATAATTTAAATTATTATGTAAATTTCATTGACCAACAAAAGTGAATTTGACCAAATTTTGTGGGAGAGGGGAAGTGTAATTTTTGTACAAATTTTTGTACCATTGACTAACTACAATTTTTTTATAAAGTTAGACCACAAGCAAAAATCGTCGGTCGAAATATCCAAATGTACGACCAATAAAAATGTTTTTAATTGGATTACTTTCAATCTCTGATTATATCAGGCTTGACAATTGTAAAATTCAAACGGAACATACATCAACCAGACTAGATCAGTTCAGATTAGACTAGACCAGACATGAATAGATGAGATTAGATCAGAAAATTACAGTCCAATTAACAACATTTTAAATGTTTAATACAAATAAAATTGTACATGTTGACAAAGTAAAAATTGTACATGTAAATATTGCATAACGTGGGATATTGAAGATGTGAACAAGAAGGTTATAATTTTTTTACACTAGGGTGTTTGGAAAATGACGTTTCTGCTAAAAAGGTGGTTTGACCCCTAGCTTTTAGCATTTCCAATAAATGAAAACGATATTTGGTAAATAGTTATTTGGTCTTAGCGTTTTTGAACAGAATCGCTGAAATGGAAATATTGCAAATAGGTGAGTTTTGGGTTAACGTTTTGAAATATGACGTTTTCTATTAATTTTTATGGTCAAATCATTAAATTATCAAACATCTTCTGACAACCCGTCAACTTATTCTACTTGTCAAATCCGCTAACTGAATTCGCTATTGACAACCTGCTAATATATATTTTCTCCGTTTCATAAAAGTTGCAATATTGGAATTTCTGCACTATTCACACATCTTACTTTGACTACGATTTTCTAATAATATACTTCCTCCGTCTCTTAGCTTTTTAGTTGCAACTAGGGGTGGGCGCGGTCCGGAACGGTCCGGTAAATTGGTAAAACCCGTAATGTATCCGTGAGGTTTTTAACGGTCCGGTACGGTCCGGTTCCAAGGATAGAACCATTCGGTACCATGTCATTTCGGAACGGTACAAAACGGTACGGTGCCATGCCAAACACATGCTAAAAAAATTGAACAAATCTTACAATTAGTAGATATCATCACACCAACCAATTCACATGAAATGTTGATATAAATTCAAGAAATTGCATACATAGTACTGAAATACACAAATACACAAATAGTGCACCACAACTAAGAAAAAACATAGCAAAACGATGTCGCACGAGATAAATATCATCTTTAATTTACTAAGTTCATGTGAAAATATAAAAAGGAATATCATCAAATTGTTGAATATAATAGAAATCTTCAATGTTCTTCTTCTTCATTCTAGGTTAAATATTACTCCCTAGTTCTAATTTAATTATAGTTGAATCTTGAGAGCTAATATTTAAATCATATTAATTAATTGTAAAAATTGCACAAACATGATACAACAAAAAGTCATGTACACAGTACACTACATTGCTAGAAATGAATAGTCATCAATGATTACTAAAATTTTAATATTCTCTAAAAAAAAATCGGACAATAAGGAGAGAAAGAGGAAAAGTAAAAAAAAAAATGTAAGAACTAAGA